GAATGAGCTGGAGGAGTGGTGTTTGCAGGTGTGGAGAAGCGTGACGCTGACTGGGCTTATAGTGTGTGGACTCTTATCACATGTGGAACAACCCTTTCCCTCCTCTCTCCTCCCTTCCTCCATCCCCTCCCCTCCTCTTTCACTCCCTATCACCTGCTCCCCTCATCTCCTCTTCCTCCATTCACTCTCATATTCTATCTCTTGCGCACGTCCTACCTCCCTGAATTTGCTCATATTCCATCGCTCTCTCCTCTGCCTCTCCCTCTATCCCATATCCTCCTCTCCCTCCTCTCGCTCTCCCTCCAGCCCTTTTTGAATTCACTCCTATTCCATCCTTTCCTCCATCCCATCTCCCTTCCTCCTTCTCTCCCTATCACACCCTTCCCTCATCCCCTCTCCCTTCCTCTACCCCTTTTCTTTTTCCTTCTCTATCCTTCCATCCCATCTCTCTTCCTCCTGCTATCCCATCACCCTCTTCCCTCTACCTCCTTTTTTCACCCTCCTCCCTCCATCACTACCCTCTCTCCTTTTCTCCTCACCCTCCCTTCCTACTCATCCCTTTCTCTCCACCCTTCTCACCCCCCTACACTCTCTATGTCTCTCCCTTCTTCCTTCTCTCCCACTCCCTCCCCTCTCCTTAGCCTTTATTTCAACTTCATTTGTCCCCTCCACCTCTTTTCTTCCATCTCTCTTTCTTTCGATACTTCCTCTCTCTACCTTCGGTCCATCTTCTTCCTCCTCCCTCCCTACCTACCTCCATCCCCTCTCCCTTCTTACTCTTGCTTCTCTCTGTCCCCTCTCTCCCTCCCTCTTTCTTTCTGTCCATCCTCCACCTCTCTCCTTTCCCCCTTTCCACTTGTCTCCCCCTTGCTCTCATCTCTCCCCCCATCAGCAGTCTCTCCCTTCCTCTCTCTGCTTCATGCTTCCATGACCACCTCCCCACTTTTATCTGAGCCTCTCGTCTCAGTCTGGTTCCCTTCTCTCCGGGGAAGGCTTGTCACGTCAGGCAGGTTTTAGGTGGACTTAGCTGTGTCTGCCTCTCCACTGTCCCCCTGTACTTCTCTGTGTGGCCACTGTTTTCACATACATGCATACATAGAACTGGATTCATGCACACACGGCTCTGCACGGTCATGAATTATTCACTTTGTTTTCACTGGGCTGGAGAGTGAGAGATGGGGTTTGAAAGAGAGCAGGCTGTAGCTTTTAGCTCCAGATATGTGGACCTATAGCTTCTTAGGATTCTAGTCCACTCTCCATGTTCCTATTGGAGATTATGGTATGTTGTGTTCATTTAGCAAGCTGAAGAAAGCTTGTTTGTATGCTAACCCAGAATAATGCATTCACTGCTTATGGTAGTGTTGTCCAGTTAATCATTGCCTGCCTCCAACCCAAGCTCAGATGATTGTTTTTTCTATTATGTTATTGTTTTGTCTGCCTCTTGTAGTACGGTCACAATTTAAAATTTCAAACTCAATTTCGATACTAAGGAATAGATTCAATACCAATTCCGATACATAAAAATATAATAAAATGCACTCTTTATTTAGAAAATAGCACATTAAAATCGTAATACATATTTTTATATTACCATGTAGTCTTATATCTTCAGTCATCCAGATAGATTCCGTAGTCCCAAATACTAGTCTTTGTGGTTTTATACTTTTTCTGAGACAGCTCAAGTCTCATTTTTGTCATGTGAATGTGACTGTTAAAAATACTGATATCTGCTCAAAGTGTCACTGTCTAGTTTTGATACTACTTTTCATATCGATTATCTGCTTTTCATTACTTTTGACAACACTAGTCTTTAGTCTCCTTGGCATTTCTATGCTATATAGTTGTAATCCACCTGTGGATCATTATGTTATCATTTGTGAAATTATACAATAATTTTGCAATGTTAATTTAAAACAACTTAATAAAAGAAACAAGTCCACTGACCTCTGTGTTAGAAAACTGCAGTGCCCAATGGTAGCAGTTGTCACCGTGAACATAAACATAAAAAACTGTTTTTAAAAATCCACATTGGACCATTCCTTCAATCAAAAAGAAAAAAGTAAACATGTGATTACTTTTTTGTCATAGTGCCCAGCTCTAGTTTACAGTCAAACGTGACCCAATTATGAGATGTTTGATTCAATTTTAATATTAATGTGAATAATCAGAGTAATAGCTTGTAGGACCAAAGCTGATTCATTTCAGTATAATTAGTCAAGATCAACAACATTGACATTTCACAGTGTGGCTTCACAGAACCAAGGGTGATCAGACCCAGAGGTTTGTATTATAATTCAACACATCAACAAACACTGTACAAAACTGTTAGGAGGCATTTGTCCAGCTGCTGCAGCCTGTTCCACATATCAGATCTCTTCCAAAGATGGAGCCCACTCACTTTTTCTGGCATGATGCAATTCACAGAAATTTTACCCAGACATTGCCCCAGTAGAACATATGTGACCATGAATTATTAAGGGAATTCAACTGTAAAGATCTTCAATTGTTTTGGGTCCTAATCTTGAAATAAGAATATTGGATGGGTAATTAAAGATGCGCTGTGAAACCTTTCTGGTGGAGAGTTTCTATGGAGACTAGAAGGAACACCATTAGGGCAAGTTACATGTCAGGTCTGTGAAGAGTTTTACATATATTTTTGAGCAATCACAACTGTAGAACTGTAAAAATGTGCAAGGACATACTGTGGAACATTCCAGGCAAACAATGACATCTCCATGGAAACACGCAGATAGACCCTCCACCAAGTTACATAGTACACCTTTAAATTTTTGTTTTGAATATTTTGATTTTTTTTTCCCTCTGCATTTTGATTTTGACAGATGCCCTTCCTACGCAACTTTTCACCAGTCACATGTTCATCCACTACAACACTGTAACTTAATTTACTTTCTGGGAGTATCACATGACATTTTATTTATAGTAGACTTGAGAAAAAGATATTGTAAAGATGTTTAACCTGATTTTTACTGTCTTAAAAAAAACCCCAGAAAAACAGAACTAGTTTATTTTAAATAGTTTGTAGCTGTCCAAAGTTCTTTTTCTTTTTCAGCCTCCTAGCATCCTAATTATTCACTGCAATGATTTCATAACTTTCAGAGGCTAGAGTGAAGTTTTGGCTAACAACAACTAGCATGCTAACATGTACTTCCTGATTATCAGATTTAAAAAACACTTTATATTTAAATGCAGCCAGAACACAGCTGACTTATTTTGACCTCAAGAGCTCCTTATATAATATATACGTACCAGAACAAGACAAGTTTTGCTCAAATGCATGGGAAAAATCTGGTACAAGCCCTTTAAAGAAACGGTCTGTTTTCATACAAGTGAGCTCCATATATCACAGAGCTTGTTATTTATATATTTGTTCTTGTAGTACCACAATAGTTTCGCCCCTCACCCCTAAGTATCACAATGACATTTGTAAAGTGACTGATGTCTGTAGCATTCATTTTACCACTCTTTACAAAGAAGGTGTCTTGTTTTATAGTCCTACATGCAGCCTGTTTCTTTGTCCTTGGTGGTCTCTTATTGAAAGGGTTTATCTAAGGCCAACACCACATGTTTGCTATGTATACTGCACAGATATGTCAGTGGGCTGCTAATAGTGAAGTCACTTGCTATGTTAACATGCACGCCAGGAAAACAGGATAACTGGTCTAGTGAAAATGCATATAAACTCAAGAACTGTGATTGAGGCTTTGTGAATCGAATCTCAAAGATCACAGTAACACATCTGGAGTAACAGATACGCACTTGGATGGCCGCTGTCTGATCTACATTAGGAGAGGCATTCAACTGTTTAATGTAAGAAATAGTCAGGAAAATATAAGACACGTGTTTAGATATGTACTCACTGGTTTTAGATCAGCAGTGGTGATAAACTTAATTTAACTTATGTTGCTTTGATTTGAGCCGCTATGTTAAAGTGAAAGTGAAAACTACCAAAGCTTCCATGTGTTTATTTGTGTTGAAGAGACTCAAATCAAATGCTCAATGCAAATGAGATGTCACTTATCTATATCTACCAAAAGTGTGGTTAGCCATTTTTATTAGTAATTATAGCTGCAAGAGTGGTTTTGGGGCAAAGACCATTTGAATTTTATTGTTTAGCACACTCAGAGTTCCCTGTGCATGTATTGACTATGCTTGCAGACTTTTGATATCCTTGTAAGAACACATGGGAACAATTTATTACCTTATCAACTTTCAGTCTTTTCATTTGGGCACAGCACCGGTTTAGCTTAATCATTTATAGAGCTCAAATTCTTTGTTGCATGAGAACTGTGCTTGGTCAAACAGTGAGCAGTTAAAGTGGCAATAGTTAAACCCAAAGTTAAACCTGTTAGCTGGACAAAGGTGGGTGAGAGTTGTGACTGTGTGAATGTTTTCAATAGGAGCACTATTGACAGAAATAGTGTTAAACCAGAGCTGTGTGACATTGATCCGTGCTGTTTCTGATGTTACCACAGTCAATAAACACACAGCCATGTGTTAGCTCAGGGGGTTATGGTTCATGGTACATATTATAATTAAATATGTAATTTCTAAACATTATGGATAATTATGATAACTTTGATGCTTTTTAAATAATGTTATATATTTTTACAGTACTGTTTGCGTTGCCGGTGATTTAAGGGTTGGTTGTTTATTGCACATTGCTTAGTGCTAATCACATTAGTAAGTCACACACTCTTATGTAATCCATTTTGTTTGTCTTATCACTGTGTTGTTATAAAGTTGTTGTATACTTATCTGCTCTTTGTGTCTCCCCCTTATCCTTCTCTAATCCCCTAATACCCCTCCTCTGCCCCTGCTCCCTCCCTTCTCCTCTGTTTCTCTTTCTCTCTCTCTCCTCCTCTCTCTCCTGTTCGCTCCCAGCCCTGCGATGTGTGCTGCCAGCAGTGTGTGCGTAGAGCGGGACTGACATCCATGTGCGTGTGGAGAGAGAGCGGCAGACCAAGCCCCTAAAACGGAGCATGCCTCTGCGTCCGGCAGCCGGCAAACATGAGCCACCCAGCCCTCCACGGCAGGAGCAGCGGCAGGAGCAACAGCGGCAGGAGCAGCGGCACGCACAGCCCTACGCGCACGCAGCCAACGGCAGCCAGGGGGGCAGCTCCGACAGCTCCAGGGAAGAGGACAGCGCCATTCCCTTTCCCAGCGCCGGAGTGGGCTTCCGTCCCGGCGCAGAGCGGAGCCGCGCTGCACCCATGGAGGAGCCAACAGGCAACACGGTGGTCATCCGCATTGGAATCCCCGACCTGCAGCAGACGGTAAGAGAGGGATGCTCTGCCTCTGTATGTGCCTTTGATTAAAACAGGACAATGTGTTTAATGTTTCATTCATTCCTACTTTATTCTACCATGCATTTCCATGCACACTTCATGTCTGCTCTCCTGATGCTGTCAGCCCCCTCCCCACTCCAACCCTCTGTGATATCTTATACATCTACTTCATTAACCGTGTTTTACTTGAATGGGGCAACTGTTCACTCTGACAGAAGAGAACTGTTGGCATGGTACAATATGGGTGCATTTGCATATAACATGTTCCATATAGATGGTATGACTGTCATTTCCATCTAATCAGTGCAACTTCTTCTGAGAGACCAGGAGCTGAGATGCAGAAGTGACATGTGCTGAGTACATGGAGGCTCAGGTGGTTACAGTCGTGTGTGGTTCTGAGTTTCTCTGAACATCAATGACCAGGAAAGGGTTTGATGTGTTGTTGCTGATTTGCTCATTGTTGTAATGTGTGTGAAAAGACCCATTGTATCCAAGCAAAGCACCGGCAGCACAGTGCTGGAATAAGGATGGAATGTAAAATGAGTCCACACTGAGAGAAAGAGAATTCCCCAAAGATGCTGCAGAATTGCTGCCTGTGAATAGAAATGGTTTTCATGAGCTCAGGCACGTTCAGAGCACTGGGAGAGAGAGTGGACAGTCCAATCTGCTGGAGACCTGAGCAAAAAGAAGAGGATCTATTACATAATGTCATGGACACAACCACACTCAAAGTCTAAGTATAACAGAAGAGAGCACCTATCTGTCTTAGGAGCCTCACACTTGTGCTGTAGGCACATTCTTTAGCCCTGTGGACCTCATGGAGCAGTCTGAAGTGTCCCTACTTCGCATGTGTGTTAGGGAGCAGATTACACTAGAATAGAGCCTCAAGTAGGATTACATGTCTCCTGCTGGGCCCAAGCCTAGATCAGGAGTGAGATCCATCAACACTGCTCCATGCAACACTTTCTGAGATCTGAGTGACAATAACATGAGCTCCATGGTTGTCTTCTGCTGTTGTAAAGTCATATTGTGGTTTGGGTAGATTTATAGTTTATTATTTGCCATTCATCACTGCTCTAGCCACTCAATCTTCTATTGCAATTGGAGCAAAGACAGACAGCTTCCCAATACTGTAAATGGGTGTCATTCATCTTTACAGGGCAGAGGAGACACTGTTGGTCTATGCAGTCTGGCCCACCTGAATGCTCTCCCCTAGTCAACACTGAGTGTCTAGGGCTAGCCCCCTATGCGCCACCTGATGCAGTGAAACTATGTTATAAACTCATTAAAATTTTAAATGGACATTACTTTTTTCATGTATTGTTTTATTAGCTTTCTAAATTGATATTTGCTTTGCTTTAAATGGTGATTTGAATCAGTAACTGTAACCCAGATTTCTAGATCAGTGATGTTGAAACTGTTTTTCATCGAGGTACTGTGGTAAATGGTTACATTTATATGGCACATTACAACCTTTCAGGCCCTCAAACTGCTTTATATCAAGGAACCACTCACTCATTCACACACACTCACATAGCATTAACATGTGCGCAGACACTGGGGGCGAGGCAGGTTAAGTGTCTTGCCCAAGGACTAAACAACAGTATTCATTTAAGTGAGCTGGAAAAGCATTGCTAACCTGTGGGCAAGGGAATTAGACTGCTCTGCCAAACTTTAGATCTGAGGACTAGCACTCTACCAGATAATTACCCTGAGGGCAGCATATTGAAACATATTTGAACATAATTTTAGGTTTGTATCACAATGCACTGTGGTATTAGGGAGTTTATAGTGGTAAAATTACTTAAATTATCATAAAAATGTACCATAAAAAGTACAGTTTACATTTGGGGAAATTTAGCCTGAAGACCATCAAAACTGCATCTGAGAGCTACGCTTGGCCCCTGGTTCACAGTTTGGACAGGCCTCTTCTAGATCATGTCCAGTGCAAATAGACCTGACAGACTAATGCCCTCTTGAATGGACAGATGGTGTGTCATTTATTGTGGGCATCTCTCTGGGCACTAGTCTACCTCCTCCTGTGTCTATTTTTAGCTTCATTCACACAGGCTCTGGACGTGTCCTGCATACTCCACTCCAACTGTCCACTCCACCTCAGGGGACAGAGGGACAGATAAAGAGAGTTATGACCCAGGCTAACATCTCATCTCGCTGTCCCCGTCAGTGAGACAGTATGTCCCACTGCTCCTGTCCTGACAGGAACTCTCTATTAAACGACACAATATATTACACTAATATCAACTTTTAAAAAGACTTTTAACTAGGATAAGTCAGGATTATTTATTTGAACTTCAGAAGCATTCTTCAGAATTCTGTTGCTTTTGAGTAGAAGTAAAGCAGTGATGCATACATATTGACTTCACTGGGCTTGTTTTGTGAAGTTAGAAATGTGTTCCCAATAGCCATGCTGCAATGCAATGTTTTTATTTCTAAATAAAAACAGCAGAGGGTGGAGACACTGAATCCATGATTTTCAGATACATGTACTAAAAAAGCTTGAAGAAAACTTGAATAAACATGGGAAAAGTTGACGTAGAGTTTAGTGTCAGTCTTGATCTTGTAAGTAATTTATTTTAGTTCTCAATAAAATTTTCCTATGCAAACCTTATTTCTCTGCTTGTTGCAATTGAATAATCATGGTGATTAAATATGTGCTGAACTCAGACCTTGCAGGTAGACATTAGAGATGCAGTTAAGTTGGAAGATTTGTTTGGGAAAATAATTCCGCTGTGTGGCTTGAACAATGGTGGTGGTAAAGAAGAAGAGACACTGGAGCCGCTGAGGAGGCTAATGTTTCTGCTGCTGCAATGAGAATGGGAATAGATTGCCTGCTGTTAGTGAAATATTAGAAAGGAGAACAAGAGTGCACATGAAGATGTGATAGGAAGAGGTAAAGGCTGTAGCCTGTGATTGGCTGGCATTGACAGAAGGAAGAAAGGAAGAAAGAAATAGTTGTCCTGCTTACTTTTTAAAATTATTGTAAATGTATGTCTGCCTCTTCTGAAGCTATGGGAGAAAGAGTGTGCTTTATTTCTGCTCTTTGTAAACTGTAGTTTCATTGATAGATAACCGTTGCGAATACCCCCAACACGCACTTTTATTATCCTGTGGCAATTTACAAAGAGTAATTTTTGAGACATTTGGCATGCTGCTTCATGGAGATAAGATGCTGATTGGTTTGTGATGGAGCAGTCCACATGAAAATTGAAGTGGTCACACTCTTTGATGCAGACTGAGATAATGCTTTGATATTGTTTGAATTACAGGTATACTAATTACACTTTTAAAAAGCAAACATGTGGTGAGTCATCCTATGCTTTCTTTGTGACTGGCAGTACCATTAGATCCCACTGACATATTTAGTCTCGCCTGTCAACAGCTGTAGAGGGGAGGTTTTATGGAGATTGTGTCCCAGTGTCCCACGTGCTGGACTGCTTGTGCTTATGGTGGTGCACGAGACATCAACGAACACAGTCAAGTTAGTAGGTTAAACCTGTTGCCTAGGGCCTGGCAGAGACATATGTGAGCTTTACAATGAATGGAAATAATGACTGACTTGTTGAAAGTGAGGCTGATTGTGGTAAGAGGATGGAATGAAGGCGCTGAGGAGGCTGAGATTCTGCTGCTACGGTGGAGGTGAAAGCAGAGGTTTTTTGCATACTTGGCAGATGGCAAGGTATTTGAGGTTGAATATACAATTCTCTGAGCACTGTCAGTAGTGGGGCGAGGTTTGTCTTTACTATATAAAGCACCCTCTCATGCTCGGTTCCCTTGACCCCTGCCTTGTGTTACCCACCAACACCCAGCATGATTGCACCTGAGAAAGATGTCAAGACGTGTAGTTATTTCCACAGAGCATCATGCCACTGTGACTGCACTATTCAACGTGTTTGTGAATAAACAGTGAGTTGCCAAGGTGCCGGTCTTTGATCAATTAGACCCGTGTGGAATAGCCAAAATTACTGGTGAGGTGTCCAAGTTGGCCTATGGACAGTGGAGGGGATCATCTGCTGTCGTGAGTGCCTTTTATTGTGGAAGAACTGTTCTGGTCTACATGTGGAGTGCTTATTGTGAGTGTGAATAGGTCTATAGTCATTCAGTTTTAAATCCACGTTTGTCTTATTTTGGGGAAGGCTAAATCTAGAATTTGAAAAATTTCTTCGGCCCAATCTTGGAGTGCTGATGCTAAATCAATTCTGTTTTATTGTGGGGATGTTCAAGCCCAAAACTTTGATTCCTGTGCCCACCATTGCCCACTCAGTTACATCAGTATGTACTGTATGTTCTGGCCCTGAACTTCAACAGGCTTCAAGACTTAATTAAATGCTATTGAGTTTAGGAGTTTTTCTCCTATATAGCAGTGGTGGACATTTAGAAGTTACCTATAATTATTTGGGTAACGTCTTGTTGAAATAATTCAGAGAGTAGTATATGCACTTCATACTTTTAGAGTCATTTTTGAGAAGACAGAATGGTTGTTTACTCTTTCCTCTAGAATAAATCTATATGTTTATTAAGTTTCTTTTATGCAGTACTTTGGCTGTTTTGGTGTAGTTGGTTCTTTGGCTGCTATATGTAACTCTTTTATTATCAATTTGGTTTTAGCTTTTTGATGAAAGGCCAGCTATGGGCCAGGATAGAGATTATTCATTACACTATTCATTTTTAGGAGTGGACCCAGAAAGCCATTTGTAATGTAGATTGCTTATTTAAAATTTAGCTCCAAGGTTGAAACACTTGCAGATGGAAATGTGTGAATTCCTTTGTATTTTTAAATATAAAACCACCTTGGTCATTTCATGTATTTTCCCCAAAAAGAAACATTCTCATTTTTAATTGTATTTAAAAAGGTCAGGATGGGTGCTAGGGTACGGTTAGGTTAGGATATTATACTTTAATGGGGTATTGACTGCTGAAACATAACATATTTAAATCACCATGTTATGTTTTATTGTTTTGTAAATGCT